TTCACTACTCAGGTTAAACATATATAAGTCACTTAGATAACTTCAAAATGTTATTGTTTGGCTTTTTTTTTAGTATTTTATTTGTTCCTGAGTAAATCGGTTTGGCTGAGATTAAAGTTATAGTTTTTACACAGCTGAATAAACGTCAAGCAGACAGCTGATTATCAGAAGTGTGAGATGCTCAAGAATATACTCCGGTGTCCTGTTATATTTTAGATAGCAAGGAGTTTATTAAACTTCACCGAAACAATCTGCAAATTTCATTAAAATTTAATAAACTATCATCTTGTCTTTATTTTTAGTTAGCACAGACCTTAAACACTTAAAGCTGTAAGCTAATGATAGTTATATAAGAGCAGATGCTGCTGGTGCAATAAGCTGTACGTTTTACATCCAATGGATGATGATCTGATTAGTCGACTAATCGCAAAAATAATCGGTGACTAGTGACTATCAAAATAATCGTTTGTGGCAGCCCTAGATCACGCCAATAAAACCAGTATAGCAAGACTTTATGAATCAGCAGATGGAGCTCATAACGCTTGAGGGGTCGTCCACTTTGGGCCAGTCGGTGCAACTTCGGGCTGAGTTTTATTAGATCACTGTGGCTCTGTGCACAGATTAATCTTTGTGCAGGCCCCCCAATCCCACACAGACATTCAAGCCCAGAGGTGCCACTATTGCTCACCTGGTTGAGCTGACATCATATACCAAAAGCTGGAGTTCGGTCCAGAGTACTTCCCAAGTGTCACTCCCCCTCAAGATAAATTGCTAAAAATAAATCTTAAAAAAAAAAAAAAAAAAAAAAAAACCAACTTGCCCTGTTTGGATTTATTTTTATCTGAATGGATTTATTTTCTATTGTTTTACATCTCTTTTATCTTTGTGCCTTTATTGTTTTATTCAGACTGCTATAAGGGCGTCTATTTAAAAGAGGGCTTGGGCTTTATCACCTACCCTGTTTACAAAAAGGTGGTAATAAACAGGTGAAAGAGTCAAACTATTTGTTTCACACAGAGGATGAAGTGAAGGGCTGCAAAAAAACTGAGTGCAACACATACAAGCATTCATTTGAACTACGAATAGTGCAAAGCTACTGTAAAAGAGCCCAAGAATAAAAATGTGGGCCGTACCTCATAACAAAACCCAATATTTATCAGATAACTGCAGGAGGCAAGGAAAGCTTTACAAATGCTCCCTAAGTCACCAATTACACCCTCTCAAACACACTCACACAGTCGACAGGAGCCTTTGAGTCACTCAGGTGAGGTCTAACAGAAACTGATCGGACACCTGTCAGTCAAAACAGCCACGCTCCTAACTATATATATATTGAAATTCAAACAGGTGAGTTATTAACAAATCAACCCTCATTTTCAGGACTTTTATAGTGGAGAGCCAAAAATTAAAAAGTTGGTTTAGAGGTTTGGGGTTTTTCCTTTAATTTGTCACCCAATGGAATCTGCTAACCAATGCAATTTATTAAACTCAGACTTAAGAAGTCAATTTGTTGACAGGTTTATGCAAGAGGTGAAGGAAAGACAACATATTTCATTAGGTGTAGCGTCTGCAGCCGTTTCAGGACAAACACCTTAAAGACTCGAACACATCTGTTTACATCAGTCTGCTAATAACAGCTGCAGGTTGCTCGTCTTCCTCCTTCCAGCAGCTGTAAAGCTACTGTGCTGTGACGTGACTGGATTAACCCCTGGTCTCTACAGACAGAGAGCTTTAACCATGGAGCAATAAGACCAATACCAGCCAGACATGGGTGTGGTTTTATGCGGGCACGAACACACAACGGATGTGTGACACAAACAGCCCAAAGCAGATGTTGAAACATCGCATGATGTGTGATATCATGTGACATCACAAAAATGCGTGTGGGGTGAAGAATTTTCACAATAATCTGCACCACAGTCCACCTGCCTCACTCTGCCTCAGATGAGATGACATTAATGAAGACTTTCGATGTTTACAGCTTTGTAAAGACACCCGGAGAGAGATTAAAATCAAACCGGAAACTCAAACGTTAACCATCAAAATGACTTACAATATCCCTAAACGTTTCTTTCGTTATTCTTGAAACTACACAACGCAAACACTTCTATTCTATTTTATCTTTTGTTTATAGTCGAGTCTTATACCACGAGCTACACTACTAAACCCATTCAAAATCTTGCAACAATTTTTAATCGTTGCCTTTATTTTGAAGGGCGCGCCGGATGTGTATGTGAAAGCTAGCTAGCTTAAAAGATGAAGTTTTGCTCGAAGTTTTTTTTATTATTCCTAAATCTTGTGATCTTAGTGAAGGCGAGGAAATCGAAAGCGTGAACAAATACAGAGAGCCCTTTGCTGTAGGGCAGCTCTGTAGCACAATATTCATCTTTTTCCAGCGTTTTCTTATTTTAACGCAGACTCCAACAGTTCTGCGTCCCGTTTGCTAAGGAAAAAAGCGGCAAATTTAATAAAATATATTTGCATGAAAAAACAACAACCCAAAAACTATTTAATAAGAGTTCCAGAGTGATTTACGACTGCAGACGTAACTGCATTTCAGCACCGAGTTAGCTGTAACTAATTATATTCACCTGGAAATTGTTGTGTTTTGGTTCGGGCTCCCTGGCTGCTTCACTCCGCGTCTCTCGCTCTTTTCACGGGTGGTTTTGGCGTGTTCTCCCTGCTGTCAGCTCGGTGATGTGAGGACGTTTCTTTTGGTTACTTTGCGACCCTAAAAATAAAAACCACACAGAAACAGGCAGGAGGAGCTTCTGCGCTGCTGCTGTCACACCGACCAGCCCGCCTTCACCGAGGGAGGAGATGCGTTCACGTACCGCTCAGACAAACCACTCCTCTCTCCTTTAATCATTTTTGGATTAAAGCGCTAAATCGAAGTAGAGATTGAGGAGGGGTGGCACATTTATGAGATAAAAACTTACAAATTAAACTTTACAAGCAAAGTTACAAGAAAAAAAAAGACTGTTTTTAAAAAGCTAGCAATTTTACAAAAAAATACAGAGAAAAAAAAAGAATTTGTCAACTTTACTTTGGAAAAAATGTTTATTTTTAAGAAAAAAGTACAAATATATAAAAAAAAAAAAAACTGTCAAATTTACACAAAAATTATAAGGAATACCCCCCCTAATTCTAATAAACTAACCAAACAAATAAAAAAAACCTGTTAACTTTACACAAAAAATCTTAACGCTGTAAACAAAACACAGAAATAACCATTAAAAACTGTGAAATTAAATCAAATTAAAACAAATTCAGTAACAGCAGGTGATAAATTAATTAAGATCAGATGATTTTCATCACGGAATTATTTACAATTAAAATTTTAAACAAGAAAAACGTCTTACTGTGTTTTAAGTTGTAAGTTATTCATAGACGCGTTCCTTCTGAGCTTTTTGTTAAACAACGCTGACCTCTGGTGTCTGTTCCAGTAATTGACATGAGAGAACCATAAACACATGCATCATACTTACTACTTCTACTGCTACTACTACTATTGCTGATAATAAACATGAACATTTTAGCAATATTAATTGAAGTTTTATTTAATCAATAAATCCCGTGTCATTAAAATGCCTTCATGAAAAGAATAGAGACCACAAAGACAAACCCCTACAAGGTTAAGCAAATTATTTCAGAAAAAGGTAGCACAACAGAAACAGATAAAATAAAATAAAGCAAGAACTAGCAAGTAATATGACCTACAAAGACCATGCATAACTTTCTTCCTCATAAAAACCATTAGTGAGTCCTTTACCACATTCTTTTTATCTTTTAATTCAAGAGAAGTTTCCATAGACTTGGTGTGTGACAGATCACCTGAGCTGTGTAGTCAGGCATCACCTGGTGTTCTCTCCAAGGCTGCTGGTTCTCCGTTCTTTTTGCCACAAACTCCTCCAACTGGTGGATTCGCTGCTCCACCTTCATTTTTAAACCTCTCTTTTGTGTTTCAGATGTATCGCTACATTCTTCCACAACACCTGTGAGTACTGTCACCTCAGTGATTTTACAAAAGAGAAAGTTGATGCGTGTTTCCTGAAGTTGTTGCATTGTTCTTGCAGCTTCACACACACTGAGGCACTGGATTCATTACAAACTCATATCCAGGTGTTGCTTTTCTTTGTTTCCACAGCTTGTGCTATTCATCTTCAGTAAACCCTTTATTTTAAAAGAAGTTTCAAATCACAGTCTCTTCTGTGCTGCCATTACTTTCTTCAGATTTACTTCTATACAGTTTTAGGCTTTGCTTGGCCTATTTCATGTTTCATAGGTACCCTCAGCCCAGCTCGTTCAGATTAGCACATCTTATTTAGCATGGTCCAGTATCCCACACTCAAATGTGAATAACCAGCAATTAATCTGTGATTGAAGACACTTTTGCTAAGGCCAGAATGAACTGTTATGAGTTTAGGTGTACTCCCAGCTTACTTTTAGTACTTTCTGGGGAGCCGTCCATTTGTGTTTATAAAATAGAGGTCAGTGGTACAAAGAATCAAGACTCTGTATATCCGAGGAGGTGGTGCGTACATGTACTGTATCAGTGTAATCAACCACAGGCAGATACCTGTCTGCACAGGGAGAAATAACACAAGCAGATAATTACCTGTTTTCTGTGTTTGTTTATAGCAAGTAAAACAGTTTAAAGCAGCTCTGTTCAACACCTTACCAGATGTAAAATGTTTACAATTTAAAACTGCATCTTTATTCTATATCTATATACCTTTAAGCCCAACTCATAATGGACTATCTTACTTTGGAACATAAATTCGAGAGAAAGAGAACACTATGGCGTTAAAGGGGTTAGGGTACTCCCTGACCTCACAGTCCATTTACTGTTATTCTGAAGTTGTGTGAGAAGTGCAGGTCGTACAGAAGGCAGGTGAAAACAAAGCCACTGTCAGTGTGACGTTATTAATCTTTAACACCATCACAGCAGAAGACATCCACAGAGTCATGTGAGAAACTGCACTTTACACTTTGCTGGAGGAAACTGTAGCAGCAGCACGAGCATCAGAGCCACGAGATCAGACTTAAAGGGATAACACGACCACATTAGGAAGGAACCACATCAGGTAAATATGAAACACGTGGGCTCTACTTTAGCTGCTTTATTTAAACTGTACTCATAGATTCACTCTTTTTGGTTTGAGTTAGTTTGCTGTGAACCAACTCACTCAACAGTTCACCTCATAAAATAATTTAAAAAGGCTGAGAGCAGAACTGAGGTATTTTCTAAAATACTGTCTCACTGTGGACGGTTTGTCATCTGATTTATTCGCACTGACTTGTTTCTCCTAAAGCTGTAGGGGTCCTGTGATGTGTTCAGGTGCTCTTTTATTGTGAGTAAAAAACCTGAATCATCACTTTAAACAGCTGACTTTGAATAGAAATGACAGTAAAGTCCTTTACAAGCACTCCTGTTACACCTTTAACAGAACAGAGTGGTTTTGCATGACTCACAATTTGATATACTCCTGATGCATCTTATATGGTGCGGCCAAGATGCTTGTTGTAATTAAATTTACAGCTCACTCAAGTATTTTACTCGTCAGAGCAGGAATTTGATGGAAGTAATGGGACTGCTTCTTTTTTTGGATCTTGCCACAGTAACTTTGCACGATACACGATTCACAGCAGTCTTTATTTTATCCTGGCTGTTTTCTGTAACAAGCTGTTTTAGCTTTTCGCCCTTGTTTGCATTTACCTTCTAAACTAAAAGCTTCTTACCACAAGCTGGGAATGTTCTCAGCTGCTCTTCTTTTGACTTGCAGGTCACTTTCTTTCAGCTCCGTTCTGCATCTACAAGCTCCACTTTCTTCCTAACTTGAATCGTTGTACTTTTACTGGCTGCTGTTTTTAGACTGAATTTGGACACTAAAGAAGCATACATTTAATTTCATGTGCGATCACATACTCGTGTATTTTACTGCCCTCAAACTGTAAAAGCCAGCTGACTTTTATTTCCTCTGCAGGTTTAAAATGTTAACCAGGTGGTTAACTTTCACAGCCTTCCTCGCCGTCCCAGCCAATCCAGGAAGAGGAGCTACCGGCCAGGGCACTCTGACTGTGGCCCCCACCTGCCGGGTCAAAGGTCATCCAGAGGTGGAGTTGACTTTACACTGTGGAGATGGAAAGGACTTAGGTGAGTGAAGACTCCATCTCACTCTCTGCTCTCTGAAGGCAAACGCTGACTTCTGTTAAATGTAGAAAGCGGTCACGTTCCTGCTGTAAATATTTCAGACTGTACATTAATAGAAACCAATCTAAAGGAATCTAAAGCGATAACACTTTATAATAATTTTGGCTAACAATGAAACTTTAATTATTCAAGTATAGCTGCTAAATAGCTGGTTTGTGAATCAGACGCAACTACACAATAAAACACAGATAATGCTTACAGATGTTCACTGTAAAACACAGGTGTAGTAGGTGGATGGGGTTGCCCACTGCGCCTGCTGTGTGTCCCTCTGTGTTGTGTTGCAGGTTCTCAGTAGGTGGAGTTATTTAGTGCACCTGGCCGGCCTCCCTGGAGCATATAAGAGCTGTTGTCTCCACCACACGCATCCAGCTGCTAACACAAACTAACACACCTGAAGATGTTTACTCTGTTTTTTGTCTCTTTTGGTTGATAAATCAGAAAATTTGTGTCTCTCTGGGTCTCTGACACCAGCAGCTCTGACATGAGAGAAAACTTTCACTGAACTGAACGTTGGTGGTGTCCCACTTATTACTGTTGATTATCATGTTTATGAAATGTAACCAATGATTTTTAAAACAGAAAGGCCTTTATTTCAATTTTTCTTTTAAAAAAAAAAAAGCAGCTGTTTAGCTCCTCCCCTTTAAGGCGCCTTTCTTCTGACCAGCTACCCCTCACAAACAGAGGGTTTGAAAAGCAGGTGGGCGGAGCTTCTGTGCTTACAGCCATAGCTTTGTGCCCATTTCAATACCGATAAACCATAACTGTTTATAAAAGATGGATGGATTCTATTTATTATTTATGTTGGAACCAGTCTCGAGTGGATGAAAGAGGAACTGCAGCATTGCCTCGTGAGACACAAAGGAAAGGTTTTTGTGACACTCTCTCTCTTTTGGTACTCATGAAATCATTACTCCTCACCTGTAGCTGCTTCTTCTCTCATATGCAGGTGTGGTCCAGTACTGGCACACCCCCTTTGGAGACCTCCACACTCCTGGTTCCCATGGTAAACTGGACCCCGTCGTCATGCACCATGACGGGAGCCTGCTGGTCCCCAACACCAGTGCTCTCCACAGTGGCCTGTACTACTGCCTCCTGCAGCACACAGAGGGTACTACACTGTGGCCGTATGAGCTCCACGTCGGTCACGATGGTCAAAACCAAAAGCAAAGCAGCCGCTGTGCTGCATTCAGGTTCAGGAGGGATGCTGGGTCTGAGGAGGCGAAGCAGGCAGGTGTTTCAGCCGAGCTGTTTGCAGGAGCTGTGGCTGCATCAGTGCTGCTGACCTTTGTGTTGGGATTCAGCATTGGAGCTTTGAGCAGGACTCATGTTCTGAGGTGAGTTCAGGGACTTACGTCATTATTGGTGCCTCTTGAAGAAGTTTTAACCCAAGCTAAATCACCAGCATTGGAATCAATGTATTTTTAAACAAGTATAGAGAAAGATGCAAACACTAGATAATCTCAGTGTGAGCCAATGAGAACACCACATGTGGACTGACCCTTTTTACATTAAAGGTCTGTTTTTTCCTCTCAGGTGTTCAGGGGCAGTCAGGGCAAAGCTGCGGTCACCAAAACGAGGACGAAAGTGCCAAAGCGACACAACCGACCACGGCCCCGAGGTCAGCATGACAACCCTGCCGCCCACGAACGAGAACCCGGCCTCTGAAAATGACCAGGTGGTGCACAACAACTCTGCGCCTAACCTGTCTCCTCCTGCCAAACCTCAGAGAAGCTTCCGGCACAAACGAGAGGAAGACGAGCCACCAGAAACCACTGCATATCTGGAAGGATGTGACTACAAGGAGGAGGAGGAAGAAGATGGAAGATGCACAGAGAACAGAAATAAAGGCAGTGATAAGGAGTTAGAAGAGGGGGAGAAAGAGAGCCGGTTTGGTCGCTTGTATCTGATAGGAGAGGATGGAGAGAGTCAAAGTGAAACAGATGAGTATGAGGAGGACAAACATGGAAGCGAGAGCAGGGAGGTGAAGAGGAGTATGGTGCAGGAGGAAGAGGAGGCGGCGGCGGCGGCCGGTGAGGAGAAAGATGGTGAGACGGAGATTTCCAGAGATTCTGAAAAGTCAACTTTTGAAAGTGAAGATGAGGCGACAGGAGGCAAAAACAAGGAGGTGACCGATCAAGGAGCGCTGCCGCCCTCCCCACCACGGCCAGCCCGCCGCAGCCGCGTCATCCGCCTGTACCAGTATGACGAGGACGGCCAGCGATACGGCCACCTTCCAGACCCTGGCCCCGACGCTCCTCTCCCCGCCCCCAGATTCAAACAGCGCTCAGTCTCTCTGACGCGCCTCTCCGCCATCATGGCTGCAGCCTCAACAGGGCCACTGGACCAGAGTCAACAGGAAGAAGGATAGTGAGCAGACGTCAAACTTCCACATGGACATTTGATAGATGCTACAGAGAGTGGACAAAATAATGACAACACCATGGCTCAAGTCGAGTCCAGCTCTACAAACTTTGTTTGGAAGGGTCGCCACATTTAGCGCCACAAACTTATAACTTGTCATAAGTTATATTTGCATTATAACTATATATATTATAATTTCCACTCATGCTTACTTGCAGATCTGAGTTGCACTGATTTGATTTTCTCAGAAAATCTGCAAAAATGTACAATATAAAAGGACTTTCATGTTTTGAAGTTATTAGTTATGCTGTAAACACCTGAACGAAGCAGAACAGCCATCTCCCAGTGGCTGAACTGAAATGATGAACACCTGTACCTGATATGTTGGGTGTGGGATCGATGTATACATACCCTAAGACTGGACACTGTATTTTTATGAGGTCTGACGGGTGAATCTGCACACGCACTTTTTATATCTGGGAATCAATTTTTGCATAAATTTAAAAAAAAAAAAAAAAAAAAAAAAAAAAAAAAAAAGCTAAAGCCATCATCAAAGTAATGCTATGACTTCATCCTGGATCATCTCTGCATCCTGCTGATGAGATTACAGCTGAAGCTGAACTAAGCTTCACTTTTGTAATACCACTTTGTACCACAAGGTGACACAACAAGTAAGTTAATCTTACATATGGCTCGGGTCAATGATTTTAACTTGTACGCCGTCATACGGGTGTATCTGTTCAGATGAAGTTTAGATCCACCAGCCTGGGTCAAGTCAAGGAAAATAGGTATTTTAAGGAATCTTGAAACTGAAGTGGTACGTGCCATGTCTGTGTGCATTTTTATTGGGACTGTGGTGACATCTGAAACTAATGAGAACCCTTCCTGCACTAATGCTTGTTCCCATCACCCAGGTTTCTGCAGAGACTGACACCTGATGGTTTTTGAAGGACAATAGGGGCAAATCTCTAAACTATGAAAAAGTAAAACAGCATAAGACAGAGCATATGGACCAGAGGTCACAAGGTGCAGGCACAACACCTGAAATAGGGCAGCATGGGCGTGAATGGAGGTTAACGCTGTTACCTCAGAGCACGGCCTGGTTTAAAGACATCCATGTTAGGTTAACTGGTCATGTATGTGAGGTAGATGAAGTCCTTTAAGTGTGAGCAGTTAAACTGTGACTTGTGTATGGATGAAATGTGAGTAAATTACTTGCCGCTTCTGAGAATGTCCTCGCTACTTGTAATGATTAAATCATTATGCTATTATGCTTTCATGTATAAAACAGGACATGATGTCAGATAGTAAATTTAGTTTGTGTTTGGGGGGGAAATAAGTTGACTCTCCCTGCTCTCTTAATTAAGGATTAATCTTCCACTTATTAAGGCAGGCCGTTTACTCCAGCAGTCCCTGAACTTTTTAGCGCCACAGACCGGTTAAATGTCAGACAATATTTTCACAGACCGGCCTTTAAGGTGTCGCGGATAAATACAACAAATAAAATGATACGATCAAGACAAAAACTGTTATTTTGTAAATATAATAATAAACGCAAATTAACTGTGTAATTTTGCAACTTTATTAGCAGCATCCTCCTAAAATGCACCAACAACATTGAGAGTAACATCCTCCTCTTTGCCCCTTAACGCTCTCTGGTCGCTACGGTAAAGCGTAAATAATTCTTTCAAAATAAGACACAACTACAACATGGGAAAAAACCCAGGGAAACAGAGTTAACAATAAAAACCCTGAAAACCATTAATTTCACACCCGAGCCCAACAACCCCGGTACCAAACGACTCATGGACCCGGGGGTTGGGTACCGCTGGTTTACACATTCTAAATTGATGTGCAGTTCAAAATTTGTTGTAGGGCCCAGATTATACCGTGCAAGGCATACAACATGAACAGTAAGCGTTAACCAGCCAAGAATATATTCTTATTTACAGCGGTGAAAGAGTCTCATGAGTAAATGTGGAGAAGTCCAAGAAGAAATGTGAAACATTATGAGCTCTGGGGAAACAACTCCCCCTGCTGGTCACAGTTTTAGTTGACATTTGCAGCTGGTAATTTTAGAAAGTACCTTTAAAGTTGTTGTTTTTTTTTTTGTTTTTTTTTTAAAGCATTCACTAAATTAACTGCCCAGAGGGGTTTCAGGATAGCTGTAGAGTGGTGAGACTTGCTTCTAGCAGGTTAGGTGCTGGTTATCTGGCAGGATGTGGTCTAATAAGAAGTGTTAGGAGGTAAAGGGATAACTGCTGTATCTGCTCAGGGGTTGCTGGACTGACACCTAAAAAAGAAATGGTAAATTTCTTCAGGCTGACCAGTTTCTGCATGCCTTAGTGTGTTAACACGGTGCAGGAGTGGCGAATGAAACCTGGGCTCTGCAGCTTGATGAATTTCCATTTCCTTTTTATTACTGTCAAAACGTCTATAAACAAGACACAAAAATGGGGGGGAAAAAAAAAAACAAAAAAAACATAACATTTAACATAAATTCCACAGCTCTTCTCAGTTCATTTTCCCTCTGACAGTTTCTTTTCTTGAAATTAACACTATTTAAAAAAAAAAAAAAAAAAAGTCTTCTCAGCAGGAGGAAGGCCTCTTAGCATTTGGACGATGGTGCACAGGCGCCTCTAACGGGATTCGAAGGTCCACAGGGACGAGGTTGTACTCCATATTTCTGTGTATGTGTGGATGAAACCTTTTTCCAGACTCCTTCCCGGGTTCTCAGTTTTCTCCCTCTTCATCCTTTTGTTTTTGTGGCTGTTAATGCTATGAAGCTGACCAACTTCTTCGCCATTCCACGAACTCGTCTAGAAGCACCGGCCCTGCAAAAAACAAATAAACCCGTAAATATAGACAAAGGTGCGCCTGCACGTTATTACTGTTCAGTGAAGACATGAAGCCATTTTAAGGTTTAAAACTGAAATGCTTGTTTAACATTCTTTTGCAGTTATACATGTTGAAAAGTTTGCTTAAACAGCTGGCCATTTAAAACTTAGAAAATAAAAGAATCTTAAAATCAATACAAAAATGGAGGGAAGCTGGTGTAAATTTATTAACATCAGGACTGCTGTGGCATTTTGGACTACAAGTGATGGACAGATATTAGATTTCCTTTCACAGAAATGAGTGAGCCATCACGGAAGACCCCCCAGAATTATAACATGCTCATCCTTCTGTCCTAAGAGTGTGAACCGATCCAGATGTGTTCTTGTGTATTATGACAAACTGTGCGACAGCGGCCATTCCCAAACCAAAGCCCTGGATGGTCCAGGTGGGGCGATAACTGGCCAACACATCCTATTCCATGTTTGGACATTTCATACAGGTTTATATTCCCGCCTTGAAGCAGCTCTGTAAGAGAGGCCTGCACTATTTTCCTAGTACAAGTGGTACTCACAAGCTCCATCCTCATCGTAGTTACTGAGGTCTGGGTTGATGGTCCGGCTGAACTCCAGAACATTATACCACTGGTCTTTATTCAATCCCTTGTACTTGGACTGCTGTGGGAGACATTAATGGGAGGGAGACCGTGAGGAAACAACCCAGAGAGAGGAGTGAAGAGCTGTTTGAAGATGAGCTGATTTCACATCTCCTTTATCAGAGCAATGAGATTTACCTCCAGGAACTGGCTGAAGACTGGGAAGAGCGGCCATGACCTTCCCAGCAGCAGAGCCAGCATTAATTTTGCCGTGTCCATGTCCAAACTCCTCTGGTTCTTATCCTGAGGACAGAAGCAACTCAGTGAGTGAGCTCAGTAATAAGTGCAGCAGTTCATATCTCTTATGATCCCATGAATGCGCTGATGAGTGTTTCCCCCACAATCCCATTAGTCATAACAGTTAAACCTAACTGCACGGTTGCTGCACTGAAATTGAAAAGACACTCCCTCATTTATGGTTATTTAAAAAAATAAAAAATAAAAAAATCCAGCTGCATCAGCAGGGAGATTCACTGCATCAAGCTCAGAGTCAGAATTCAGAGACTTGATCTGAAAGCCTGTGTTGGTGAAGTTAAGCTTCATTTATGGTCACCACACCAAATCTTTTCAGAAGCTCAGAGTTTAAATGTAGCATCTGCTCCTCCCGGTTAAAACATGGTCACCCCATAGGGAACTATTTTGTGGTAATTTGGCGCTTTTAAATTATTATTTTTATTCCAACTTTTCCTCATAACAATCACAAAGTCAGGAGCACAAACACTGCAGACATATTACAAAATGATGCTCAAGGATTTTTACAGGCTTAACTTCCAAATAATAACAAAAAATAAATAGACTCACTCTGGCAAAGTCAAAGGCGTATCTGTAGATATTTTTAAAGGTCGCAGCATCGTTGAGCTCACTGCGCAGGTAATCAAGTTTACTTTGTAATCTCTCTGTGCAGTCACACCTGCATGTAGACGAAAACACATTTAAGCGTATTTGTAACCTCAACCACAAATAAACTGAAAGAATAAGATTTCTTACTGTAATATCGTCATTCCCCTGAGCCACTCGTCTTTTGTGAAGTACCCCATGTTTGCTGCTTCTAGATGCCACGCTAAAACTAACATGATAATCTGCAGGAAAGAAAGAGGAGATTCAAACAAGTGTAAGAAAGCTTGTTTCCTACCATCTTTATTTTTCACAGAAAAAAAACATTTGTTGCTAAAATAAAACTCCATAAAACATTCTCACATCATGAGTGCCTCACAGTCTCTTTTCTGAGTGTTACCCTATGACTCCTGATGGTCAGGAGTTCATCAGGTAAGGGACATGCAGAGTGACTAAGAGTCAAGCTGCTGACTTACATTCTCTGGTTCCACGCCGATGTCCTCACAGAACTTCTCCATGGCCTCTGGGCCGAACACCTTGTCGGGGGCAGCGTACTTGTGGAACCAGGCCAGGCACTTCTTACTGGAAAAGGGCTTGTCAGTGTTGATTGACCTCGGACCGCGGATCAGAGGTCGGGTAAAACTTCAGCACAGACCAAACATTTTAAAGATAAATGTGCAGCCATAACTTCAGGAGGTTGTTACATGGCAGCTATACAACAGCTGGACTACAGTCAAAGCAAAAATACAACAAAGGATTTCACCCTGTGAGAGCTGGGATAGGCTCCAGCACCCCTGACTCTGAACAGGGTAAAGTGGCTCAGAAAACAGCCTGTCAGTATTTCCTGCAGATTAATGGCAGCGCGGTGGCTCAGTGGTTACCACAGCTGCCTCACAGCTGGATGTTCTCCAAGAACATTGGTGTATCCAGTCAGCCAGCCAGTTTAGAATCAACTGCTACCAAGTCAGATCAGATGCTGCTGTATGCAAATGGCTCGGGTGATTATTCACATGAGACTCAAACTGTCACCATATTTCATTAAAAACCTGAAATTAAGTCTGCACGGACATTTATGATGTACAGAGCTGAGGCACTGATGGATTATCCACCTCATTTATATCCAAGAATAAAGCAAAGGTACCTAATAAAGTGGCACTTTAGATACTCTCCTACAGTCCTGAAGACTGAGGCAGTGCTGATTAAGATGACAAGT